ACTTCAAAAGAGGAAACTAGAGGGTGATATAAGCCAGAAGACGGAGGCTGGCCCTCACCAGTTCCATTGTGCAGGACCCAGAACAATGGATGTTAAAGTACAGGAAGGCAGATTCAAACTGGAAAACAAAAACATCCTAAAAAGAATGGCAGCTGGACATATATGATGGCAGTGGGTGCTCTTCCCTGGGATGTCCCAAGGAGAGGCTAGGTGACCGTCAGGTCAGATGACCTGGATGGCTGCTTGAGCAAGGGAAGGGCTCCACCAAGGCTCTCCTCTTGGCCTCCTTTCTCCAAATCATTCCGGAGCCTTTAGCATCACTTCGCCAGACTGCAGGACCAGAGAGATTCATTTGGGACCCCCTCCTGCAGAGTCATTTGGGAATCTTCTACTAATGTCATATCCCAACGCGAGAGGTGGGACATTTTGCTCCTGAAAAAAATGTGGCGCTTCCTCTTCCATCTGACTGGGCCAAGAAGGCTGCGCGGAGAGCTTTGGGGATATCCCAGGAGGACACCACACCCAAGAGGTTAATGAGCGACAATTCCCCACTCCGTCTCCCTAATTTTGGCCCAACTCCTGCTGGGGTCTCAGGAGGTTCTCAACCTTTTTAATGCCGCGACCCCCCAACCGGTCATAAGTTGAGGACTACTCAACCGGTCGTAAGTCGAGGACTACTCAACTGGTGCAGCACCGTTTGCAGAATGGGACTTTTGGCGGGCTCAGCAGGGCAGAGTCAGCCTGGACAATTCCTATTGGCTTTTGAAAGCCAATAGAATTAGACTCTATTCAAGAGAGTCTATTCTATTGGTTTTCAAAAGCCAATAGAATAAAAGGGAGTAGCACAGCTAAGAAAAAGGGGGGGGGGGGAAATGGCGGACTGCGTTGTTTGGCGACCTCCGTGAAATGGTCATTCGACCCCAAATGGGGTCTCGACCCACAGGTTGAGAACCACTGTGCTAGGGCAAAGCCTCTTCCTCCTGCCTTGGGAAGAAGTAATTCAAGAAGACAGCCTTTCGTGAGGAGAATGAGTCACCAGGGATCATAACAGAAGCTGGGGAATAAGTCTGAAGAGGAAACCCCAGCCTTCCAAATGAGGAAGAGGCTTCCTTCAAAGGCGAAGCAGCAGATTTGCTCATTTGCTCAAACTGAGCGTCAAATGCAAACAGACGCCAGCCCAGCCAGTCCCCATGCGGACAACGCAGGCGGCAAGCAATCGGAGCCATTCCTCAGAACGGCTTTGACGGGAGAAGGGAAGGAGTGTGTATGTGTGTGTGTGTGGAGGGATGTTTATAAAGATCTCCTCATTGATTAGTGCTCCAACGGAGATGAAAAACAGAGCCAGAAAGGGGGAAGAGAAGGCAACTCCTTCTCCTACAAGTATCACAGCATGGAGAGCCAGGCAGAAAGGCCCCACTTCTCTGTAGCCCCTGAGGAGAATAACAGAGTTGGAAGGGACCTTGGAGATCTTCTAGTCCAGCTCAGGCAGGAAACCCTATACCAGTGGTTCTCAACCTTTTTAATGCCGCGACCCCCAACCGGTCGTAAGTCGAGGACTACTCAACCGGTCGTAAGTCGAGGACTACTCAACTGGTGCAGCACCGTTTGCAGAATGGGACTTTTGGCGGGCTCAGCAGGGCAGAGACAGCCTGGACAATTCCTATTGGCTTTTGAAAGCCAATAGAATTAGACTCTATTCAAGAGAGTCTATTCTATTGGCTTTCAAAAGCCAATAGAATAAAAGGGAGTAGCACAGCTAAGGAAAAGGGGGGGAAAATGGTGGACTGCGTTGTTTGGCGACCCCCGTGAAATGGTCATTCGACCCCAAATGAGGTCCCGCCCATAGGTTGAGAACCACTGCCCTATACCTTTCAGGACAAATGGCTGTCCAGTCTCTTCTTAAAAGCTTCCAGTGATGGAGCACCCACAGCTTCTGAGGGCAAGACTTTCCGCTGGTTAATTTTTCTAATTGTCAGGAAATTTCTCCTTAATTCCAGGTTGCGTCTCTCCTTATTAGTTTTCACCCGGCGCTTCTTGTACCTGCCTTCAGATGCTTTGGAGAACAGCAATCGCACTTAAGACTTATATACCGCTTCACAGTGCTTTCCAGCCCTTTCTAAGCAGTTTACAGAGTCACCGTCTTGCTCCCAACAATCTGGGTTCTCGTTTTAACTGACCTCAGAAGGATGGATCAAACTCCTGGTTGTGGGCAGAGATTGCCTGCCATACTGCATCTCGCGCCACCAGGATTCTTGGTTGACCCCCTCTTCTTTGGAATATTGGAAGACTGCTATCCTGTCACCCCTGGCCCTTCTTTTCATCTCACTGCCAGGCCTGGGGGTAGGGAGGGAGTAAGCATGGGGTCCCTGATGGGAGGGGGCACTTCGAGGTCTCCAAGATGGAGGCTGCCTACTGCTTAACAACTTTCAGGACATCTTGAAGAGGGAGAAGACCTACAAATTTCTTCAACCGAAGCTTGCGTAGACCAGGCCGCTGATGCGGCCACGCTGCGTGTGGAATGTGCTGTGATATGTTTCGGTACTGGCAAAGATTGAGATCTATATGCATGAGAAATACATGCCCTAATCCATCTCCCAATGGTAGAGGATGAAACCTTCTTTCCCATGGAAGAGGATTGGAAGGACACAGAGCCTCCGATTTGCGAAAGGCAGCCGTGCCTTTCTTGTTATTTTTGGGGGGGGGGGGTCTTGAAAGCCTCAGCTCAGCCTGAGCCTTGGCCTTCCTGACCCCTTCCCCCTCAATCAAGCTACCTCTTGGTACTCTGCTTCAGTTCCCTGCCTTTTCTTTTCTTTTTAACCTGTCTTTTGGTTCCTTGCACTTCAGAAAACTTCATGCATCAACAGCCCCCCCCCATTTTCTTTCTCAGTACCTACAGCCCTCCTGAACTGCTTCTTCGTTCAGCATCTCCATCTAAGGAGCCCTTCCGGCCTTTGCCCTTCGCAGATGGAGGAAATCTATGGAAGAATTGGGGGTCTTGCTGGGCCTCCCCGGGCTTGCCCGGGAGGATCTGCAGCAGCACTCGGGAGAACCTGTCTGGGGTTCTGGGTGATCAGGACCAATCCAGATTCCAGCCTGCTTCTTTCTGGGTCTTCCGCATGACCAGACGTCCGAGCGGTGCCTGGACCCGGCACTTGGCTGAATTTCTTTGCAAGAGGAGAACTGAGACTGGCCATTGGGGCTGGCTCTAAAGGGGCCACAACTGCCCAGCCCTGTCCAAGAAGGACTCAAGGAGATCAGACAGAAGAAGCTGCTTCCCTGCAGCTCTTTCGTGAGCACGGCTCACGAAGCCCCCAGGATTGACCCCCTCAGCCGGGAAGGCCTTTGGCTCCTCCACACATCCCAGCTCCCTTTCCTTCCAAGACCGGAGATGAGATTTTAAGGAGATCCTGAGAAACACTTTGGGCCTATTGAAGGGAAAGTGATTAAGCTTCTGCGTAATTGGCCTGCCTATCCCCTCTGACAGTAATTAAAAGTCCCTACTGTGAACTTCTTTGAAAAAGCCCCTAATTGGCTTAGTGGATTAGCACTAAGAGAAGAAGGAGCTGTCTAAATGGCCCAGGCTCCAGCCGTCCAGCAGAAGAGTCCAGCGTCCGTTGGTCACCTCCCTTGGCTGGGACAATTCCAGCTCTGCCCATTTTCTTTACAACCAAGGCCTGCCTGTTTTCTGTTTCAGCAGCAGGAGCTAAGCAGGAGCCCCCCCCCCAGGCTCCTCCTGCAACATACAAGCATGGCTCTCTTCAGCCCCTTGAAAGCTTTAGGATAGGGATGGCCAACCCACGGGCCGTGGATATGGCCATCCCAGCCCCAAGATGGCCAGTTTTCCATGTTGCAAATTTGAGGTATTTGCTCTCAAAGAAGAACAAAAAGGCACGGGGGAGACCTCCCAGAGGCAAAGCAACCCATTTCCACCTGCAAATATCCCCACTTTGCTACAGTGAATTTCAGGGTGCAACTTCAGGCTAATTTTCTTCAGGAGAAGAGAGGAAATGGGAGCAGCTGCTCTCCCCAAGTCTCTGTAAGATGGGTAGGCAACCTTGGCTCTTTTATGACTCGTGGACTTCAACTCCCAGAATTCCTGAGCCAGCCATGCTGAGGGGAAAGGGAGAGGTTTCCAAGCTGAGCCATGCTGGCTCAGGAATTCTGGGAGTTGAAGTCCATGAGTCATCAAAGAGCCTAAGAGAAGGGCAGACCCCCTAGGGCTGCATCTTGATTCCAGCATCCCCACCAGAGGGCGCCCTGTTCCATCTCCTGCAGGTCAACACAGCAAACCACAGCTCCACCCACCCAAAGACCACCCACTTCTCTGCTTCAGGCAATTACTGAGCATGATGCCCCCTCCCCCAAAAAAGTACCCAGCTCCAAGACTTTTTCCAGGGTTCCCAGATGCTGCAAAGTCAGCAGCATGAATCACCCACCTGCCATGAATCCGGGCATGCCCTGCTATGCCCAGGCAACCCCTTTGCTTTGCAAGCTGCACTGTGCCACTTGCTCCCGGCTGCTGGCCCCTACCTGCAGAGGCCTTCACGGGGCCCAGATATTCAAGGGAGGTCTTCCCCCCATTTGCATCGATACACCCTGTTAGATCCAGCAGGAGAGGACGGCTCCAGGTCCCCTCAATTAAACAAGGTCGTCTATTGGAACCCCGGAAGGACGCCCTCTCTGCCCTCTGGAATGGGGTTCCCTATCATTCAAAAGACGCCCCCACCCTTACCCACCCCGCCACTGCTGGTGCTTTGAAGGACCTTGAAGGCCCGTCTCTGTCCAGGCTACAGAGGAGGGTGACAGGAGCACCCTACAGATGAGGTGGCCTTATTTCTTTCTCTTTTTTTGTTCCTTCTTCTCATCTTTTATTCTTTCATTTGGCTTCTCGCTGTTTCTTGCTTTTTATGTTTTCCTTGTTAGCCCCCCCCCAAAGTCGCTGGGAGCCAAGTTAAATTACAATGTCGTAAATAATAGGAAAAAACAGGATCCTCACTTACAACACTGGGAGGCTGCAGGGGGCATCAGCTGCTTCTGGTCATCTTCGGTGGGAGACGGCTGAGAGAGAGAGGGAGAGGGAGGGAGGGAGAATGTAAGGGCAGAGGAAGCTCTTCAGGGTCCGGCTGTGGCACCTCAACCACCCGCCACAGAGCCACCTTCGGGGGCTGCCAGAGCTACAGAAGCAACAGCACCTGCCAATGCCACCTCCCGCTGGTGGGGAGAAGCACCACACTTGGCCGGCCTCCGGAGTTGGCCAGGAAGTCTCTCTCCAGCTGGCTGAGCAATGCTTTCCCTTTGCACCACGGAGCCTGCTCCCCGGCAGCCCAAAAGAGCGAAGCCAGGGTTACGTGGCATCCTCGTAAACTGTCCAGAGCTACTTTATAGAGGAGATGGGCAGCATAAAACAGAAAGAAAGAAAGAAAGAAAGAAAGAAAGAAAGAAAGAAAGAAAGAAAGAAAGAAAGAAAGAAAGAAAGAAAGACCTACGGTGGTGGTGGTGGGGGGAATGTTTTATTCTCCTCCAGGGAGCCTTGTTCTTTCCCTTATAACACTGTCCTGGGCTGCTCTTAGTACGGCAGCCACCTGTTTTTGATAAATAATATTATGGGAGACCTTCAGCCTCTCTCTCTCCAGGCACCCAAAAAGTCCTCTAACATCTTCAAAAAAAAAAAAAAAAAAAGTATCGTCCATTTTTTGGGCCTAAAGTACAGGTAGTCCTTGACTCAGGACCCAAAATTTCTGTTGCTAAGCAAGGCAATTGTTAACTGAACTTTGTCCCTTTTTATGACCTTTCTTGCCACAGTTCTTAAGTGTAGAACTGCTGCAATTGTTCCGTTAGTGATATGGTTGCTAAATGCAATCTGGCTTCCCCACTGTTGCAAAAGGGGATCACACCGCCTCAAGACCCTGCGACCCTCATAAATATGAGTCGGCCGTCAAGTGTCCGAGATTGTGATCGCGTGACTGTGGGGATGCCGCAACGGATGTGAAAAGCGGTCTTAAGTCCCTCTTTTTGGTGCTGTTGTTACTTTGAACGGTCACTAAATGAATGGTTGTAAGTGGAGGACTGCCTGTATATGTAAGGGAAAGGGCAGGATCTTCACACCTGGGCATGCCCAGCCCTGCCCATCTCACCCCTGCAGGAGCACCACAAGCAGCCCTGGCACCCCACAGGCGGCCACCCCTGCCACAGGGCCATCCACTGAGCCAGCATCTGCCACCGGCCCCCACAAACTTCCCCTGCTTGGCGACCTTCCCCCACAAAATAAGCCCCCCCCCTACCCTCACCATCACCCCCTGGCCAATCACCCAGGAGCTACACTGCAAGGTTCGGTCTCCTTGGATCGGGATTCCTTTGTATTCTTTCTGAAACAGGATGCGGTTAAACGGCCAAAATTATAGAACAGCACAACGGAGGGGAAAAAAAACCCCGCTCATCATAGAGAGAGTTTGCACTGTTATACAAAGATCAACAAGCCACAAAAGGCAAATTAACTCTATTAACTGCAATCTGTCTTGAGACTTAACTGAGTTCCATATATTTTGCTCAGCGGTTATATACCAAAACGGTTTTTCGAATTACTCATGCGATTGTTGCAGTGTAATTATGGGCTCCTGACTATGACCTACATTCTTGCAAAAAGTGCCTGGCGCATATTTTGAAAAAGGGGAGCCTCTTTTGCACCATGCGCAGATGGGCTCAGGCCTGACCTCGCGAAGGCCTGCATTCCAGCCCCACCACCAGGGCAGGGGGCTGCCTGTCAACAATGCCTTTGTCATTCTGCCCCATGCTTAGACTCTCCAACCCTGGGAGGGGGGAGCTGGCCCAGGGGGTCCACTCTGCCCCAGGGGAAAGCACACAAGGCCGAGGACTCCCACCCAACTTCCTGGGTTTAATTAACTTGGGCTATCATCACGTCAGCACCTTCCTGAGGTCTCCAGGGGAACAGCTACTGTATATCACTTAGGCCAGCGGTTCTCAACCTGTGGGTCGCAACCCCATTTGGGGTCAAATGACCATTTCACGGGGGTTGCCAAACAACGCAGTCCGCCATTTTTTCCCCCTTTTCCTTAGCTGTGCTACTCCCTTTTATTCTATTGGCTTTTGAAAGCCAATAGAATAGACTCTCTTGAATAGAGTCTAATTCTATTGGCTTTCAAAAGCCAATAGGAATTGTCCAGGCTGTCTCTGCCCTGCTGAGCCCGCCAAAAGTCCCAGTCTGCAAACGGTGCTGCAAGCTGTCTGGAAGTTTCCACCCCTTCCTGCCGAGCAACTACTAAAAATGTAAGTAAAAGAGGGCCAGGGGTGGGAGGTGGGAGGCCGGCGGGCGCAGGGAGGGTTGCTGGCGCACGTGGGGCCCGGCGGGTGCCTTACCTCCCTTGGGCTGGCCCAGCTGGTGGACGCCCTGCGCCGTCGCTGCCCCTTGCCAGCTACGCCTCGGCCGGCGCAGGGGGTGGCACCATGCATGCGCGGCGCTCCCGGGCAGGGAAAGTCCTCGACTTACAACCGGTTGGGTAGTCCTCGACTTACAACCGGTTGGGTAGTCCTCGACTTACGACTGGTTGGGTAGTCCTCGACTTACGACCGGTTGGGGGGGGGGGTCGCAGCATTAAAAAGGTTGAGAACCACTGACTTAGGCTTATATACAGCTCCACAGTGTTTTACAGCACTCCCCCCCCCAGGAAGTTTATAGAGTCAGCCTGTCACCCGCAACAATCTGGGTCCTCATTTTACTGACCTGGGAAGGATGGAAGGCTGAGTCAACCTTAAGCACCGTCAGGATTGAACTGCTGGCAGTCGGCAGAGTTTGCCTGCAACACTGCACTTTAACCACTGTGCCCCCAGGGGGGAGTGCACCCCTGGCCCAGCGGCAAGTCCTCTAATAAGAGTCTGGCTAGCCAGTTTAGCTCCCAACATTAGAGGACTTCCAGGAAGCTCAGCAAGAGACCCACCTCTTCCTCTTCCTCCAGCGAGTTCATCTGCTTCAGCTTCTTGGTCCAGTATTTGGCTTCTTCTTCGGGAATGTCTGCAGAGGAGCAAAGAGGCACCAACCTTGAATGGAGGGAAGGTCCACCAGGCCGGTGCCCAGCCCTTGCCGGAGATTCCCCTGGCTCCCTCCCACCCCACAGCCAAGCCTACATCTGATCTGCCTTGGCACCTGGGTCTTGGCATAGGCCGGTCCTCGGAAAGGATGGCCGGCGGGAGCAAATGGGTGAAGGAGTTCAAGGCCTCTTCCGAGGCCTGGTGCCTGTCCCCTCAGACGGATGGTGGGAACCTGGTCATGGGGTGGGGTGGGGGGCGGTTGGTGTCAAGGGGCTTCCATGGCAGAGAAGACGGCCTTTCATCTCCACTGAGGCTTTTCTGGCACCAGAATTCACCCCAGCCTCTTAAGGTCACATTCACCATGGCCAGTATCTTTTATTTTGGGGCTTATGGAGTTGCTTTCTTTCTGCTTTTCCGATTAAATGACTGTCTCTGGTTAGCAGGACCTTTTCCTTGAGGTTCATTCTGGCCCGTGATGGGAAACTGGGCTGCGTTGTTGCATTTTACATTTTAAGTAAAAGTCTTCCGTGTTGCCTTGGGAACCGTATTTTGAGAAGCTAACAGATGTAAATAGATAAGCAGCATAGACCATTCTCTCTCTCATACACACACACACACAGGCACAGACATGGAGTTTTGTGGCCCAAAGGGCAGATTTCTTGGCACCCCAAATGTTGGGCAGCCCCCTGCCAATCTCCCCGTTAGCAGCCGCTTCCCTTCTCCACGAGCCCTGGGCATCACACACACTAGCCTGGCCTTAACAAAGGCTCCCTTCCACCTCCCATTTAGGCCAAGGAGCCAGAAGAATGAAAGTCCCCACAAGCACAGGCTCCAGGCAGGATCAGGGGTGGCCAGGGGCTGCCTCCGGACAGAGGCGGCCGTCAGCAACAGTGGCAGCTGCAATTATTTGCTTGATGCGTTCATAACAGGAACGGACATTGGAATCGGTACAGTGAAGGTGGAACTCCAAAACCAGCAACTCCACACTTTTTACTGGGGTAAAGGACAGAAATAGAAACAGCAAGGCAAAGCACAGCACTCCAGGGCAGACAAACTCCAGATTCAGAGGCCTCTTCTTTCCTGCTAACAACTTGCCTATATAGTACGTTTCCTAGTAAAAAACTGGCAGAGCACAGAACCATAGACTGGAAACGATCCTGGAGATCATCTAGTCTAACCCCCGGCTGGTGAAGGAATCCGTTGCTGCAGCCTCCTAGCAAGTGGCCACCCGGCCTTTATTTAAACACATTTAACGAGGGAGAGTCCATTCCACTGCTGAACAACTCTTACTGCGGGGAAATTGGCATGAACACCCCACCAAAATCAGCCTTCTTGTAATTTGAACCCTGAACCCTGCCCACCCTGGACAAAACAGCCCTTTCGGATGCTCCACACCAATTATGAAGTCTTCTCCGGGCTCAACCTACCCAACAGATACAAAATGCTTTTTTAGTTTAATGATTTATTCACAATGTTTAATGGTTACTGTGGTTTGTATTGTGATTTTTGTGGCTGATTTTTAGTTTCATATATTGTAAGCCATCTACATCCACGCCAACAGATAGCCCTGACCCTTATGGACAAAAGAAAGTAAATTCATTGGTCAATCAGTCAATCTTGCTCCTCTCAAGCTTTTCCTTCCATGGACCCCCCTCTGTCTTCTCTGGGCTGCTTTTCTCTGGACAGGCCCCAATTGGCCAACGTCCTGCCCCAAAGGCAGTGCCCAAACTGGGGCAAAGATCCACACGTGGCCTCCCCAATGCAGGGTGAAGGAGTGATGGCTACTCTTGATCTCGCTATTACATAACTGTTGATGTAATATAGGGTGAGTTATGCTTTTTTTTAACAGCTGCATCAACCTCGTGGCTCCGACACAGCCTGTGATCCACTAAAACACGGATCCTGTTTGCAGGCGCTGCTGCCAGGCGCACTTTCCAACTTTTCCTGCCTAAAGGTACTGGGTATGGCCAGTCCAGAGAAAAGAAGGACCACAGGGGACATAGCAGCTTTCCAACCTCTGAAAGGCTGCCACAAAGAAGAGGGGGTCGAGTTATTCTCCAAAGCGCCTGAAGGCAAGACACGAAACAACGGATGGAAGCTAATCAAGGAGAGAAGCAACCTGGAACTAAGGAGAAACTTCCTAATGGTGAGAACAATTAACCAGTGGAACAGCTTGCCTCCGGAAATCATGGGTCCTCCATCGCTGGAGATTTTCAAGAAGAGACTGGACCGCCACCTGTCTGAAATGGTATAGGGTCCCCTGCTTGAGCCGGGGGTTGGACTAGAAGACCTCCAAGGTCCCTTCCAGCTCTATTCTGATTGATTGGTGGTAGGATTTGGCATGGCTGGTTCATCTAGGTCAGCCCGCTGACTCCCGCCCGTTTTTCCAGCTGGTCAAGATCCTCCTGAATTCTGGTACAGCCCTCAGTGAATCTGAACAGATTTATCAGCTACGCGGCCCCGATTCAAACATGCGCTGGGCAACCCAGGGTCCGGAACACACAGCCAGAGTTTACCTCCCGAGGCCTCCAGGCTGTTCAACTGGCAATGTATCCACGCAATGGCAGGGCAGCCCAGGTGGTGATCTTTTCTATCAGGATTTACTGGAAGCTTTGCCAAAGTTAAGATCCACCCTGCCCTCCGCCTTCCTGTCACCAGCTGGAGCAGGAGGCCAGCTTGGTTAACCCGTGCTGGCTTCTTCCCTGGATTCTCACAAATCAATGGCTTCATGAGCCATTCAGCAGTTTTGCCTGGCTGCTTGCTGTTGACAATAAAAACAGTCCCCCCCCCCCAACCTCCTGCATTCTACAAACGGGGAGGGGGCTCCGCGATGGCCCCCACGAGCTCCTTCAAGACCCCTGGACAACCTGGCTTGGAGGCTTCATCTCCTTCAAGCCATCCAGGGGCTCCTAACTCTCTTGTTTCCAGGTCCCTCCTGGCGATTCTGCCCAGCTCCATCTGGACTCTTGGGGGAGAAGACCCAGGGAAGCAGCAGCTCTGCTCTTTGCCCCTTCCTTGTTCACCTCCAACCAGGTCTTCCTGGCAGCAGATCCACATCCTTCCTTCCTTCCTTCCTTCCTTCCTTCCTTCCTTCCTTCCTTCCTTCCTTCCCTCCCTCCTTCCTCTTTCCTTCCTTCCTTCCTTCCCTCCCTCCTTCCTCTTTCCTTCCTTCCTTCCTTTCCTTCCTTCCCTCCCTCCTTCCTCCTTCCTTCCTTCCTTCCTTCCCTCCCTCCCTCCTTCCTCTTTCCTTCCTTCCTTTCCTTCCTTCCCTCCTTCCTCTTTCCTTCCTTCCTTCCTTCCTTCCTTCCTTCCTTCCTTCCTTCCCTCCCTTCCTCCCTCCTTCCTTCCCCCCTTCCTTCTTTATTTGTTTATTTATCGACCACCCATTTTACCAAAAGGTAACTCTGTGCGGTTTACATTAGTAAAAGATAAAATATTACAAAACCTATACACAATACAAATTTAATAAAATAACAAGAAAAACTTTTTCTACCTTGGACTACTGATCCAGCCAAAATATCCTTTTTTCCCTTGCCTTTATCTTCTCTCATGAGCATCTGCTCCAGTTGTGCCCCAGCCTCTCCCTTCTTCTTTCTACAAATATTTCCCATTTGCTGATGCACCTCCTTACCTTCAATTCCTATGCACCCTTCACCAAGATTTTATTAAGCCACCCTCCCCACTTTCTTCTCACAAGGGGGCATTTCCAGCATCTTATTCCTGAGAATTTTCCGGCTCTCTCAGACATCCTTCACCGGGAGGATTTCTACCCAAGAGATCTGGCTAAATTTGCTGAAAGTGGCTCTCCTGAAACCTAGTGTGTGTGTGTGTGTGTGTGTGTGTGTGTGTGCGCGCGCGCGCGCACGTGATTTTGGTTCAATCTCTTATTCCGTAATTTTCTGAAAATAACTGAAAGACGTTTTTTTTTTTTTTCCAAAAGGCAACTGGACTTTCTTGATTTTTTTTTTTCCTCTGAAAACCTTTCGCTTCTCATGCAAGAAGCTTCTTCAACTGACTGGTGGGGAGTGGAAGGATTTTATCAGCGGTTCTCAACCTATGGGTCGCGACCCCATTTGGGGTCGATCGACCATTTCACTGGGGTCGCCAAGCAACCCTGTCCCCTTTTCCGGTGGGTGCCTTACCTCCCTTGGGCTGGGCCAGCTGGTGGCCCAGCTGGTGGTCGGCCTGCTCTGTCTCTGCCGCTTGCCAGCTATGCCTCGGCCGGTGCAGGGGGCGGCACCACGCATGCGTGGCGCTCCCGGGCAGGGAAAGTCCTTGACTTACGACTGGTTGGGTAGTCCTCGACTTACGACCGGTTGGGGGTCACGGCATTAAAAAGGTTGAGAACCACTGATTTATATTCTTTGTAGTCATCTCGTCCTCAGCGCTCTGACCTGGGTGACTGAGAATCTGCATAGACATTTAAACCTCAACGTAATTTAGTTCTGTCTTCCCAACATTCCCGCAGCTTTTATTTTTATAACCAGCCCCTCTCACTTAAGACCAGACCAAGAAGAGCCAATTCCTCTCCTTTCTTCAACCTTTGGGAAAGTGAAACCTCTCTTGAGGATTTTTCTAGTTCTTGCCTGTTCTTGCATGAGTTGCTGAAAGCAGCAGAAGAAAAGGATCTGTAGGGCAGGGCTTTTCAACTTTTTCACCCATTGTGCCACTTTTAGGATATGGCAATATCCGAGTACCACCAGTCGCCTAGCAAGGTGTCAAAAACTTGATGACCAAAAAAAAAAAAAAGGAAAAAAGTGATGAAGTACAGATAGTCCTCAACTTACAACAGTTCGCTTAGTGACTGTTTGAAGTTACAATGGCACTGAAAAAAGTGCCCCCCAAGCCACAGCCGAGCAAGACACCTGCCTGCCCACCCGGTGGCGCTCTTCCTCCTGTCCGAGGTTTTCATTGTTCTGAGCATTTCTGTTGAGGATTGGCAGTGGGGGTAGGGTAGGGGGTGTTTGGTTTTTATTCCCCCTGTCTGCTGGGTGGTTGCAGCAGGTTTTGGTCACTTCACATGACCCTGGGACACTGTGACCGTCATAAATATGAATCAATTGCCAAGCATCTGAATGTAAATCACAAGACCCTGGAGATGCTGCAACATTCCAGCTGATCGGCGCTTCTGGGCTCAGCAGAAGTGCCAGGATCAGTGCAGAGCTCCAGCTGGAACCTGGTGCTGATCCTGGTGCTTCCTCTGAGCCCTGCAACTCTAGCCATCTCTTGGTCAGGCTTGTGCGGTGCTGCCACCAGTTCAGCTCATTCCCCTCCCCCACTACTTTTCTAGGAGGGTCGCGTACCACTTGCCAGGTGCCAATGTACCACAGGTGGTACCTGTACCACTGGTTGAAAAGCCTTGCTGTAGGGATTGGGAAGCTTCTGCTGACTCTAGAAAGAGTACAGAGAAGAGCAACAAAGATGATTAGGGGACTGGAGGCTAAAACATATAAGGAACGGTTGCTAGAATTGGGTATGTCTAGTTTAACGAAGAGAAGGATAAGGGGGGACATGATAGCAGTGTTCCAATATCTCAGGGGCTGCCACAAAGAAGAGGGTGTCAAGCTATTTTCCAAAGCGCCTGAAGGCAGGACAAGAAGCAACGGGTGGAAACTAATCAAGGAGAGAAGCAACCTAGAACTAAGGAGAAACTTCCTGACAGTTAGAACAATTAACCAGTGGAACAACCTGCCTCCAGAAGCGGTGAATGCTCCAACACTGGAAGTTTTTAAGAAGAGTCTGGACAGCCATTTTTCTGAAATGGTGTAGGGTTTCCTGCCTGAGCAGGGGGTTGGACTAGATGACCTCCAAGGTCCCTTCCAACTTTACTACTATTACTATTACCTCTGCCCTTTATGGCTCTTTCAATGGAGTTTAGTCCTAGAAAGGAACCTGCCACTAAATGCCCACCCTGATGGTGGAGGAGGACCCCAGGAAGAGGAAAAAACTCAAGCCACACTCACCAAAAGGCAACTCAAATCTTGTGTCCAGCAAAATCTGATGCTGCGTCGGGTTTTTGGTGCCACAGACCTCCTGGCCGTTCATCAGAACCTCTGCCTCCAGGGTGGACCACTCCCCAGGACCTTCCTGGAGTGAGGAAAAGGCTGGCGTGAGAGGCGCTCCTTCAGCAGACTCGGAAGGCCAGAAGCCAGCAGGCACCAAAGGCCCAGAGAAAGCTGGTCTCGTGAGAGAACGGACGGGACCAGGGAAGCCCCTCGGATTGGCCGACCGTTCGGTACCCTGCCAGCCGCTGTCCGGATGTCCTCTCCCACTCCAAGGCTGGAACGAGACATCTTCCCCAGGCCATGGAGATCTTCTCCATCCTTGGAAGGCCATTAAAATTCACTATGTTTAATCTGTGGGAAAAACTATCTGACCAACGTCTATGATCCAGATCAGTGGTTCTCAACCTTTCTAATGCCGCAACCCCATAATACAGTTCCCCATGTTGTGGTGACCCCCAACCACTTATACATCACCGGGCGCCAGGGGCGTGGCCAAAGAAAAGGGGGGAAAAATGGAGGACAGCCTCGTTTGGCGACCCCTGTGAAATGTTCGTTCGACCCCAAATGGGGTCCAGACCCACAGGTTGAGAACCACTGATCCAGGTCATGGTTGTCCCAAAGATGTGTTTTTTTTTTTTCCAAAAAGCAACTGGATTTTCTTGGGAGGGGGTTTTCTCCTTGGAAAACGTTTCACTTTTCATTTAAGAAATGAATGGAAGAACTGAACTGACTCCTTCCGTCCTCCACCAGTCAGTTAGAACTGAAGAAGCTTCTCGGATGAGAAGCGAAACGTTTCCAAAGGGGGGGAAAAAAACAAGAAAGTCCAGTTATCTTTTGGAAAAAGCACCTTTGGGACCCCTGACCAACCCATGTGAAAAAGGGTTGAGAAAGGGGTGCCCTTCCCAGCACCTCCTTCCCCTGCTCCCCTTCACTCAGGAGGGGAACCCACAAGAAAAGAGCTTGCAAGAAGTCGGAACTGCACGTATCTTAAATGACTCAGGCAGCCGGGAGAGACCAGATTTAATCGAATCTGGAGAAGGGAAGGAAGGGGGGCTGCTTCAGTCAAATACAGGTAATCCTGGCCTGTAGGCTGAGTAAGTAAACCGCTTAGAGAGGGCTGTACAGCAGTATGAAGCGGTATATAAGTCTAAGGCAGACATGTCAAACACAAGGCCCGGGGGCCGGATACGGCCCGTGAAGTGGTTTCATGTGGCCCGCGAAGCCATCCTGGAAACAGTGAGGGAACGGCCCCCGCTGCCTTGGCCCTGGCCCAGGCCAGCCGGGAGCCAATGTACAATTTTGTGGTGGCCATCTATGCTGAAACACATTCAGTCTTAGCTCCACAAGGCCGTCTGGAAACAGCGAGGAACCAGCCCCTGCCGCGTCAGCCCCACCCCCTGGGTGCATGCTGGGGAGGTGTCACCCTTTGTGAGGAATGAAGAAATGCACCATCGCCTGGAAGTGGCCAGCAAATGGCCCTCGCCTATTTCACATATCCCGCTTGATGGGCTCTGGGGGAGGGGTTTCAGCAGGTTCCTCCAGTGGACCATGTCTTGGCACTTACCCTGGTCCCACCCCCTTCTGCCAGAGACCCTCAGATCTGTCCCACTCCTGCCCAGGCCCCCACAGGCACCCTTGACGCGAACAATGTAGAGCTGGCCATGCCCACCCAGTAGGCCACACCCACTCCATCCACACCCACCCAGTAGGCCACACCCACCCTGGCCACACACCCCCGCCCACCCACCCCCGAGCACAACCGCAATGCTGATGTGGCCCTCAATGAAATTGAGTTTGACACCCCTGGTCTAAGGGCACTGGCTATAGTAGTGCTATTCCCTCCCCCCCTCCAAAAAAAAATATACAGTATATGTAGTTTTATCTTTGTCTTAGTAGCTGGGGAATAACTGCCTTATTTTTACCATCAAAATGAATTTGGATACAGAGAGTCCTCAATTTAGGGCAGCAATTGGGGCAGGAATTTCCGTTGTTCCCATGGACATTAAGCGAGGCAATTTCCTGCCGGCTCCCCACAACCAAGTCAGTGGGGGGAAAAGCTGGCAGGAAGTTGCAAATCCCAGGGCAGCAAGCAGGTAGGTGGCTCCTGCTTGGGGGGGGGTGGAGGCACAGTGCTGCAGTGGGAGAGGTGCACTGAGGGAGGCGCAGTGAGGTTGGGGGGGAGGCGATGTGCGAGGTCCATGTGAGAGGCGTGGGGAAGCTAACATGGGGAATGTGTTGGGCTGCAAAAGAGGTACAGTAAAGCTTAGGGGGAGGCTGTGAGGCTGCGTGGGGGCATGGGAGGGTGCCAGGGAGGCATGGTAAGGGGTGGAATTTTGTGCAGGAGGCAGGGGAAGGAAGCACGGGGGCACAGGGGTGTGAGGGAGGCATGGCAAAGGTCAGGGAGGGTGTGAGGGGGTGCAAGGGAGATGCAGGGTTGTGCAAGGGGTGTGCAAGGGTACAAGGGAGGTCTGGAGAGGATCAAGGAGGGTGGGGGAGAGCAGCTCACAAGCCTCATCGAGAAGTTGTGGGGCTGTGAGGGATTGCAAACCGTTGCTGGGCTACTTGTAGAAGAGAACAATTAACCCTGGACTCGGAAGAGAGGAGACTGGCTCAAAGGAATTGGGCTGGGAGAGCGACTGACCTCATCTGACTGCCGGACGGTCTCCAGGGCGATCCAAGCCGTGCCCAACATGGTGTCCCAGATCAGCCCTTTGTTCCACACTTCCACAATCAGGCCCAGGTCTAGTCGGCTGATCTCGCTGCAAAGGCCGAGAGGGGGGGAGGAAGGGAGAGAAGAGAGAGATGTCAGCAATCTGGGGGGGGGGGGAGAATGAACTCCTCACCTGGGAGTGTCCCCCAAAATGCCCATCTGGACCACGGGGCGCTCCCTGCAGGCAAAGGTCAACTCCGGACATGCCTCTTTGGGAAACCCTGGCTAGGCCCAAGGAAAGGGAAGACCCGGCCCTGCGCTGATGCTCCTTGGCCACTAGAGGCCGCTCTACATCCAGCAATCCAAGGCTTCCTAGGCAAGGCTGATGACAACCATTCTCCGTGGAAAAGTGTCAGAGTTTCTAGAAAGGCAAAAAAGCTCTTGGTTTTGACTCTCTAGCCAAAAACAATCACATCGATTTAAGGCTGTTCGTTTTAAAGCCCACACGTTTGCTCCACTAGAACTGAGTTGCAACTCAGTTAATTATATAAAATGGAACAAATTCAGATGCGGACACAAGATTTGCCTAGCCCAGGGGTAGGCAACCTTAGCTCTCTTAAGACTCGTGGACTTCAATTCCCAGAATTCCTGAGCCAGCATGGCTCAGCTTGGAAACCTCTCCCTGTCCCCTCAGCATGGCTGGCTCAGGAATTCTGGGAGTTGAAATCCACGAGTCAGAAAAGAGCTAAGGCTGCCTACCCGTGGACTAGGCCTACCAGTTTCTGATAATCTACTCCTGTCAGGCTTAATAGACTAGGCCAGGGTTAGGCAAGCTTGGCTCTTTTATGACTCGTGGACTCCAACTCCCAGAATTCCTGAGCCAGCCATGCTGAGGGGACAGGGAGGTTTCCAAGCTGAGCCATGCTGGCTCAGGAATTCTGGGAGTTGAAGTCCACGAGTCATAAGAGAGCCAAGGTTGCCTAGCCTGTTGTTGAGAGACACTCGGGGAAAGTCCGATTCTGCTTCCAAAGGTGTCCAGATCCAGGTTTCTCGGCGCAGGATGGGCAGGAATCCACCTGAACAGATCCACTGTCAGGAAAGGCCTGGGTGCATGAAAGACCCATGTATGTGGGGGGGGGGGAGGAACTGGTCCCTTGGTGCTTCACTTACAAGAGAAAGTCCTGCTCCCAACATGGCTGGGCCCCACGAACGGCAACTGTGGTGCTCTTGACATTTTGGACCTTCAGGGTTACGTAGGTGTTGAATTTATCTGGACAGAGAAAGATTATTTTTTTATGAGACCAATATCGGTTAACTCTTTGCCAACACAAAACTGACACCACCACTCCCCCCCCAAAAAAAATTGACAAATGGCCCTTCAGAAGAACAACTCTGGTTAAAATTGCCACAAGCTTTTTTCCCTTCGACCTCAATTATCAGAAAAGGGTTTGTGTGGATTAGGGAAGGCTGAGAAAGTCCTGAGAAGAGGCAACCGCCGGATCCAACAGAATTATATAAATTTAATAAATTATTAATTTAATAAATTCAAACTATATAAATTTAAGTCTCCAAGCTTGCCTTTTGGTAGGTGATCTGCAGGAAACTGATCATCTAAATCAGGGCTGTCCAACCTTGGCAACTTTAAGACCTGTGGACTTCAACTCCCAGAATTCCCCAGCCAGCTGGGAGTTGAAGTCCACAGGTCTTAAAGTTTTCAAGGTCGGACATCACTGGCCTAGACCTCTTTCAGTCAACTTTGAGGCCTGGTTACAGTATGGAGAGGAAATCAGTCACACTTCAGGGTGGTCTGTGTGCGTATGTGTGTGCACGTGTACGTGTATGTGCACATTCGCTCTGGCTCTGCTCTCCTCCGGCTCCCTCAGCAGATTCTAATACCAACAACCAGGTGACCCTTCTGGGAAGGCTTAGGGACTGGGAGCAGATGGAAAGGTTGCAGGGGCTCTGCTCCTTCCCCGGGGCTCGTCCCAGCTGCTGGTGGAGGAGGAGACAGCCAGCCGGAGACCTGTTTTGTAGGGTCTTATTCAACATCTGCAGGAAGTCCTCGCTTAATGACCACCACTGGCATCACTAAGCGGCACATCACGGGATGGTGAGACTTAGAACCTCACCCTCACCATAGTCATTAAAGTTACCTCAGAGGGAATGGGGCCACCTTAAGTAGGGCTGGCCAGCGTTCTCCGGATGCAAAGGGCAGGAAAGGCAGCCATGCTTTCTTGTCCTGATTGCTGCTGGTAGGCCTTAAGAAAAGCTCTTCCCTCCCTCTTCATTTTCCTCCAGTGGGCTTCAACTCCCAGAATTCCTGAGCCAGCATGGCTGAGCTTGGAAACCTCTCCTTTTCCCCTCAGCACGGCTGGCTCAGGAATTCTGGGAGCTGAAGTCCACGAGTCATAAAAGAGCCAAGGTTGCCCACCCCTGGTCTAAGGTGAGAACTTTCTCCTCACTGCCCAGCTAGGTTTTGAAAACACAAGCAAGGCCAGACCTCTCTTCCATGGGCTGGAGTTCTCTTGAGCCTTCTCTTTGCCCAAGAGGTTGGCACCAATACCCCCCCCCCAGGTCTCCTCGCCGAGAGGCCAGCAGACAGGCAGACGCTGAAAGACTTCAACTTCCACCGAGGGACGGCCGGAGGGCCGCTGAAAGGAGCTTGAAGAAGGCCTGAGAATTCAATCTTTGGAAGCTTTCCAGGGGCCAAGCTTAAGTTCTGCAGTTTATTTGCTAAACCTGTTTGCTGCCAGATCTTCAGACGCACAAGCGTAACAGCACAGCACGAAAAACCACACGGAGCAGTTAACCCGTAGAGTAAACAATACAGAGATCACAAATCCGATCCCTCGAAAGCCTTCTGGAAGGACCATCCCAACCAGCTTCCCGTGGGCAGCCCCACAGAGGCCGGTCCCACTTCCAGAGGGAGGCTGTTCCAGGAGGGCCCTAAAGGAGAGGCCGGAAGAGCGCCAGGCTCTACCTTGGCATCTCCTACCCCACCTATCTGAGGGTGCAGGGAGCCCATGCCAGAAGACGCCTCATCGAGACAGGGAGAGAAGGTAAACCCCACGTGAGCGCCCACCCCAAAGCCAACGTGCACCTACCTGGGGGTCCCTGGAGCTTTGCTTTCTTCACTGTGGAAAGAAAAAGAGAGCACAGGTTCCATCAGTCCATTCTAGAACACATTTCCTCTTTGGGTGTCCACCACTGGAAGGAGAAAGGAGGAAGAACATACACACACACACACACCCCTGCCCCCAAGCTGTCCTCCGGCCTCATCCCTGGCACAAAAGCGTCTGGCTGACAAGATCCTCTTTCACCTCTTCCCCGACTCCCTCCAGAAAAAGTGGGGAAATGGCAGATTTGGAGAGAAGGGAACTTTAGGGTAACCTTGGGGGGGGGGACAAAATATTGACTTATAACGGCTGTTAAGCAGATCGGAAGCCATTTCTTTATTGTTCCTTCTTTTCTATCTCTTTTTCTTTTTCACTTTTTCTATTAATTTTTCTTTCTCTTACCTTTAACTTAAAATTTGTATTGTTTTTCCTCTGTGGAAAATACAAATATATATCTCCCTCCCTCTCCCTCCCCTTCCTCACTCCCTCTCCCTTCCCCTCCCTCTCTCTCCCTCCCTCCCTCCTCCCTCCCTCTCCCTCCCCCTTCCTCTTTCCCTCTCTCCTCCCTCCCTTCCTCTCCCTTCCCTCCCTCTCTTCCTCTCCCTCCCTCCCCCTTCCTCTTTCCCTCTCTCCTCCCTCCCTCTCCCTTCCCCTCTCTTCCTCTCCCTCCCTCCCTCCCTCCCTCCTTCCTCCCTCTTCCTTTTTCCCTCTCTCCTTCCCTCCCTCCCTCTCCCTCTCCCTTCCCCTCCCTCTCTCTTCCTCTCTCCCTCCCTCTCTCCCCCTCCCTCTCTCCCTCCCTCTGTCCCTCCCCCTCCCTCTCTCTCCCTCCCTCTCTCTCTCTCTCTCACACACACAGAGTACATGACTGCCATCGCTCTGTGGTTTCTGGCATGGAGAGGTGCATCTCTCCTCCTGGTGAAGAACAGCCATTTCTACCATTATCACCAGGCAAGCCAGAGGGGCTACTCTGGTGCCCCCCCCCCAGCCCCAGAAGCCCCCAAAGGGCAATTCTGGTCCAGCGGGAGGGGTGAGGGAGGGGAAGCAATCTGCTCCCACCCCAATGCCTTCTCTAGCAGGCAGTGGGAAAGGGCAGGAGGCAGAGGGCCCACTGACCAGGGCTCCAGGGCTCGCCCTCTTCCAGGCCAGCCATCTAAGAGCCGAGGTGGCGCAGCAGTTAGAGTGCAGTACTGCAGGCCACTTTAGCTGACTGTGTTCAGCAGGTCAGCGGTTCAAATCTCACCGGCTCAAGGTTGACTCAGCCTTCCATCCTTCCAGGGTAGGTAAAATGAGGACCCAGATTGTTGGGGGCAATGTAAATATATATATATATACATTGCTTACTGGTGTACACCGCTTAGAGAGTGTGCTTGCACTTAAAGTGGTATATAAGTCTCATAAATAAATAAATAAATAAATAAATAAGTAGCTTCCTGTGAGGAACCTTCTCATTTCCTTGATTAAAAAGCCAAGTTTCTCTGGAAGGAAACAACAGGGATCACCCCTTGCACTGGGGTGGAATTGCTTTGGGGTCTGGGGGAGGCAGCGCCCCACCCCCTGCTGGTCCTGGGCACTTTCTTCACATTTAGGCCAGTGGGAGAGGCGGGGGGGGGGGGAGTCTGGAAGAGAGTCAGACTCTCAAGAGAGCACAGCTCCAGATGTGCGTGTCCCCAGCACCCTCCAGCCAGTGGCAAGGCTTTTTGATCAGCTTAACTGAGAGCAATCTAATCCCCAGCCTCCTGCCGCACACACACACACACACAAGACACACACAGAGACACAGACACAAACGGGGAGGACTTGGCAGGCTTCAGGAGGGCATCAGGTGGCGGACAAGGGCGGCGCTGCACCTGGTGTCCTTTCAGGTAGGCTGGCAGGATCAATTCCCCCTGGGGGCACGGCGGAGAGGCGGGGAGGGAGGGAAGAAGGCAGGCTGTGGCCTCCGAGGCGAGCTTGGCAGAGCCACCAGGAAGGAGGGGAGAACAGTAGCAGGCGCCCTGAGGGGGGGGAGGAAGGGCAGCGGGTGTGCCTGGCACTGTGCGCCAGGGTGCCACAAGGCTGCCGGAGGCAAGACTCTCCGGACAGAGCCTGTGAGCTGCAAAAGCACCAAGGAAGGTTTCAGGAAAAGGGCCTGCCAGGGAACCCTCGTGGCAACTGTGCGGTCTGGCATGTTCGGAGGGTACCAGCTTGGGGAAGCAGTAACAGAAGGCCTGACATCACAAGATGGCTAATGCCAGGGGTAGGCAACCTTGGCTCTTTTATGACTCGTGGACTTCAACTCCCAGAATTCCTGAGCCAGCCATGCTGAGGGGAAAGGGAGAAGTTTCCAAGCTGAGCCATGCTGGCTCAGGAATTCTGGGAATTGAAGTCCACGAGTCATAAAAGAGCCAAGGTTGCCTACCCCTGGCTTATGCCAACATTTTGTGCTGGGAGGAAAGGCACCAGGGCAGAGTGTGCTGCAGCCTGAACCCTCTGGGCCCCTCAGTGCCACCACCAGACCTGACCCGTCACATTCTCCACCCCACAGCTGCTGTTTTGTCCCATTCTCCAGGAAGCGGGAGGGGGGGAGCAAGGACAGTGAGCAGGCGAGGCTGCTGGGCATCCAGTCTGGCCCGTGTGCTGCCTCTGGCTCCTTTCCAGCTCTGCTTGACGAAAGACAGTGGATGCAACTACAAGGAAGGAAGGAAGGAAGGAAGGAAGGAAGGAAGGAAGGAAGGAAGGAAGGAAGGAAGGAAGGAAGGAAGGAAGGAAGGAAGGGAGGAAGGGTCAAGCCCCAGGGAACCGACATGTATGGGCGGATGGAAGCAGGTTACTGTACCACCACCGCCCCGTAGGCCCTCGCCATGGCCAGGACTGTCACCGAATGCCCCGCAGGGTTGACACTTGCCGGCGGGGGGGGGGCCACCTGCCCCAACGCTGCTGTTCCCGCTGACCCTCCTCTCAGCTGATAGGTGCAGGCTGGAACGATACATGGCCAATGGACACCGGGGTTCGTCGCTGCACTGTGGACCACTCTCAGCCGAGGGCTGGGGAACTTTGCCGACTGCCGGCCGCAAGGGACGTTACCGCAGCCGCCGGTAACGGGCGATGCCCACAGACCAGTGTCTTGCCGGTCCAACAGGAAAGCCCCGGTGCAGCGGGTGAGGCCCATGGACCAGCGCCTTGCCCGTCCAGACAGCCAAGCGGCCAAGACATACGGGGGGAAGGAGCGCACGACGGGAGACGGCAGCGAGGGGGAAAAGGAGCTCAACTTGCTGTGTTTTCTGGAACGCTGTAGAGGGGCTGGAGTCCACAACGGCCAGAACGGGGGGGGGGGGTGACGCCCCTGCTGATTGGTTTTGTTCCCCACAGACTGGATGCTGGCTTGTGGGTGGGAGGGTGGGACTAGGGCGCGGAGCCTATGTAAAGCAATGGGAGCAATTCACTCCCAGTGCTAACTTTATTATTGTATGGATTAAAAGGCCAACCGTTTGTCAATCGTTCCTGTTTGTCGGCTCTTTCTTGGGCACCAAAGAGGACGCCTTGACAAGAAGGAAGGAAGGAAGGAAGGAAGGAAGGAAGGAAGGAAGGAAGGAAGGAAGGAAGGAAGGAAGGAAGGAAGGAAGGAAGGAAGGAAGGAAGGAAGGAGCAGATGGTCAGCCACGGCATCCTAAACCTGGCCTTGATTTGCAGAGCCTGCTCGGGAGGTTCTGCCCATTTCCTTCTGCCTGGAGCAGGGTGGAGAAGCCCCATCACACAGCCCTGCCAGCCTCCTGCCCTAAGCCAGGGGAGGCTCCTGCAGTGGCGGGTGGGAGGGCAATCATTATGCAATTCGGCCTAGAGAACAGGGCCAAAGGAAGCCCTGCAGCCTCCTCACCCAGCACTGGCCATGTCGGCAAAATATCTGGACTGGCAGTTGACGATTCCCGGCCCAAACTTCCCTCTGGGCTACTTCTCACCCTTTCACCAATTCCAGGGAAGCTGCGCCTGGCCAAGGGCCGAGCCCAGAAACCTCAGCACCTAAACCGTGCCCTGCGGGACCCCAGAGCCCTGCCCATCGAGTCCAGCAGCCGGAGTGGCCCAAAGAAGCTCCCAGGGGATCCTGCCTGCACAGCAAGAGGCTCTCCTCCCCTCAGAAGCTCGGGTGCCATGCTGGGTGCCCACGTCTCAGGTCTGAAGTGGCAGTTAAGAGGAACATGCCAACCTATCCTTGTTTGGAGGTGACAGTTAAGTCAGGCCTCCTTCAAAGCAAGCTCGGCTCCTGGGGGCATTTTCATGGGGAGGGGGGAGAACTGGGGCAGCCATCTGGAGGTGTTCTGCCACTGCCTGTGTTTGGGATGGAGGAGGGTTCAAGGCCCCGGTCCAACCCACAGGCCTGCGATGTCCCTGATGGCCTCTGAGCCAGGTTCTCAGCAGCTCCAGCCTGGCTGCCAGATTGGGCCAGCTGCCACAACAGATGTGGGACCAGGTATTCTACCCTCAAGAGCCAATTGTGCGGCGTCCATTCCTTTGCCCGGTCTACCTACGGAGGACCGCCATCAACCTTGAAAGCCCCTCAGAGCTTCTCTGTCCCTCTGTCTCAGGCCAAACAAAATCCAGGTCTGCCATGGGGGGGGGGGGGGAACGACAGAATTTTCTCAGCTTTCAGTGTCCGACTGATTGGTCTGCAGCTCCCTTGATCTTCCTTTCTCCTCTTTCACCACGTTGGCCCTTGCTCCAACCATCCAGCCCTTTACCCATATGAAGTCAGAGCCAGTTTCTTTTTCTTGCACATCTGTGGCGTACCCGGCTCAACAGCAGTAACTGTGAGAGGGACCTTGGAGAGACCTCACTTAAATATGAGCCAGCAGCGTGCGGCAGCTGCCAAAAAAGCCAGCACGGTTCTAGACTGCGTTCACAGAGGGATAGAATCAAGATCATATGAAGTGTCAGTACCACTTTATAAGGCCTTGGTGAGATCACAAGTACGCCAGGATATAAATAAGATGTGGAGACTCTAGAACAGTGGTTCTCAACCTTTTTAATGCCGCGACCCCCCAACC